TTTATGTGACAATCGAATAACGATAGTGGAACGGGCGTGTAACAATCTCGAAACGGCAAATAGCACGTATTTAGCACAATTTATTCGATGGAATTTTGCGCATGGTTTACCATGGTTTTTCCATAGAAATTCTTTGAATAGTTTTCTACGGTTCACACTAGATGTGTATACCATTCGCATTATGATATCGAACAAGCGCTGGAAACTTTGCAATAAAATTCGCATAGAGAAGAGGATTAACGAATGAGAGAGGACTGTTTATCTTATTAAAATATCAAATTATTTTAATCAGTTTTACGAAAAATAAAAAATAAAGTGCGAAGAAAATAATTGATTTTGAAGACGTGCTGACAAGCTGTGGCAAGGATGCGAATCCGTTGCAGAAAATAGAGTAAGGAAATGGTAGCTCCACTTGAAAATTGAATAAGACAATGGAGTGAGATATCGAAGTGAGGGATACCGTACGCCAATTATCCCCAGCTGACGACGATGCCAATGACGAGCTGTTACTATTCTTGATTATTTTTCAATATGCTAACACCAATAAAATAGAGTGAAATTTCAATGTGACACAACAAATTTTCAACAGTGGATTTTGAACGAAATTCTGAGCTCAAACCTCGAAAAGTTTAAAACAATCGAAAAGTTTTCAATTCTAATAAGTGAATGGAAATACCATGCGATTTAAGACGATTGAAAATTAATTCGGAGGAGAGTTTTTGCGTCGAAAACCGAAATATTCAGCACACTTTTGACGTAAAGTCGCTTTGCCGAAACGGGAGTTTATTTAGCGCAAAGATCTTCGTCAATTCCACTCTAAAATGATGGCTTCGAGCCCTTCTTTTCGATGCCACTTATACAGGGAGACGTGCACACAGACGCACACACTGAGCAAATTAAAATGTTCGGTCTCATTGAAATCATTAGGCCGTAAAATGAAATTCGTGTGCACAAATAAATTGGTATCATCGCAAACTAGATGTGACGCGTACCGCGTACATTTTAAGTGCCAGTCGCAAATAGTAAATTCAAGTAAAATTTCGTGTGCGCAAATTTCCCATGTTGTTTGCATACATGATTTTCACTCACTTGCCACATAATTTTCCAAGGCAACGCTTTTAAACAAACAGACATTTTCGCCATGTGTATTAAATATGCAGCGGACCAACATTCTCGTTCTTGTTCTTCTTCCATCATCGACTTGAAATTTGTGCGTTCGTTCGCTCGCGCTCGACATAGGCTCAGCTGCGTCACACGAAAACGCTGAAACGTATATTTAATTCATCCTGTGTGAGTGGAGCCCATAATCCCAATTTCATCGCTAGTTTGTGTGCGTTTGCATGTGAGTCTGTGTGCGGGCGTAACGAAGTAAAAAATTTATTGAAAATATACACCATAAATTTGCAACAAGTTTTCGTCGTCGTTGGCATTGCTTATGAGAACCATTGCTTAATGCTTTTTCCTTTTGATGCTTTTGCTTAATATTATAGCTGCCGCTTTAGCTACTGCTATTGTTGTTGTTGGTGGTTTCAAGTCGGTTCGTAATTTTCTTAGCATAGCTGCCAAGTGAAAAAGAGCGAATCCATGTTTTGTTTGTTGTGTGACTCTTGTTTGTCATTGTTTTCGCTGTGTGTGTGTGTTTGTGTGTGTGTGAGTGTACGATTTTCCGTATATTCTCATTGCATTTGAGCCATTAATGGGCAAAAAAGCTCAACAAACACAATCCATTGGCTCATTCCCCAATCTTTGCATGCATATTTAATGTCCGTTTCGCTTGTATATTGCGTTGGCGCTTGTTTTCATGTCAAAAAGTGAAAAATCAACATTTTTGCGTTTTGGCTCGGGCGGCCGCGGATCGCTTCCAATAAAAACATAAAAAAATACACAACAACAGCAGCGCTCACTGTGTGTATCGAAGCAAATGTAAAACGAACAGAACAGAAAAAAACAAAAGCGAATGAAAATAACATGATCGTCAACCATAATACTCAACAACTCAACTGGAAATGAAAGCAATGCTTTAAAAAAAAGCGGTTCATGTTGATTTTTAGTTAGTTGCTTTTGCTCTCTCTTGCTGTGATATTGCGATTGCATAATATTTTTGTATCGAAATGCTAAGCCTGATTACGAGGTGGTCGCATAATTCAAGTTGAAAGCATTTTATATTGTGCACGCTTGGCATGTACTCATTCGTATTCGCATTCGCATCCGAGTCCTTATGTCAAATCATTTTCAGATTTTTAATGTGTGATAATGGTTTAACTTCAGCTTGACTTTTTTTTACTGCTGGCAAACACTTTAACTAATGCCACCAACGACGCGGCTCGCATTCAAATGCTTCGCGGAAAAAAACACCCGAACATTGAATGCGACGAAAAAAAACGAATCAGATGAGATCATATTTGTCAGGGACGCATTATGGTTGAAATGAAAGAATTGCCGCTGCCACAATTTCAAAATGCACATTTAGAAAATTGGTAGTGGAAAAAAGACAACAGCACTCAAAAACTATGGGTATCTCAGTGGTTTTTAGGTCGTTGCTTTCGCAACAATGCCACAAAGTTTTAATTATCCAGTGGAAGAAGTTTCTTTTAGTTGTTGCTTTTGCTGACATGTCAATTTCGTGTGGGCTTAGAGATTCCCTCTCTCATTTGTCAATGTAAACACATGACAAAAAGCATTCAATCATTGCTCAGTTGGGCTGTCACCGTCCGTAACAACGCGGAATGTTGAATACCAAACCGAGGCGAAGAAAAAACGATCTGCCGCAGAAAAAAAGTCTTTCTATTCAACAAAACTCTTTCTCAACGGCGTCAGTACAATTAAGAAACTTCAGTCAGCCTGATGTGTACACGCTGCGCGTATTTGCACGAAATAATGAACCAACGTACTTCTTTTTTTTCTCCCATGTAGTCGTTTTTATTTTGGTTGTGGTTTACCCATTAGGGTGGACTGACTTTTTAAAGATGGTGGAAACATTTGAAACTGCCACGGTGTTAAAAAAATGTTTTTCTCTTCTTGCCTAAAAGCCTATTCCTTGTTATCATAAGAGCATTTAAATTAAATGTCACACACCGAAGTAGAAACAAAGTTCTGAAACAACAAGAATTCCACTTTTGATTACACGATTTATTTGTTCCGGGGTTCGAGTGAACTCAGATCATGGCAAAAGGATGATCCTTCCTATTGCATGTGGTCTTCATTTGGTTTTGATGCGACATTATTTCAACAGCATCCACAAATACAATTCTGAAAAAAGGAGATGAAAACAAGAAACACACAGAGAACGACAGCAATTTGGACCGCAAACAATCTGGTTGCCATTCGCAACTAAGTCGCTCTTTTGTGTGTACCGTTGACTCTTTTCTATGCCTTTTATTAATTATCCAAGCTTTTCGCGCAGTAACATTCGCTGCGTATTTTGTGTTGGCATTCCAAACGAAAAGACTTTGTCAACAATTTCTTCTTGGGGCAGTTAAAATAAGAATTTAAGCCTTTTTGGTTTTTTTTTCTCTATTTCTGCTCTCACTTTCTATAATTGCATGTTGCGGTAGGAAAAAAGGTCGTCGTCTTTGTCGTTGTTCGGTGATGTGGTTGGCGTTTTTTTTGACGCTGTCGCTGACATGTATTAACCAAGCAATGCCACAATGATTGGTTTGTTATAAAAACACACTATGCCGTCATTCATGAGATGGCAACAGCCATAATGATCGATGTAAATCTTGGTGGGAGCAACTTTAAAATGGTATTTTGAATATTTTATGCTACGATGGGAAATGAAAACCATAACCATTGCGTACAAAACAGCAACACTTCCATTGTGCATCCAAACCGAGGCTAAATTGGAGCACCATCAAATTTGCGGTGTAAATAGCATCAAGCGACAAAGCCAAATGAGAGGGAGAGAAGCGTGAAACGATAGTTGAGTCAAGGTACTTTCTTTTCTCTCTCTGGGCTTGTAAGAGAGATGCGCAATTTGGAATCTCTTAAGCAGATGTGCCAAGTTTTTGTGCTCACAAACCACTACCATTCATTGATTCTTCATCATCGTCGCAATTTACTCGTGCGCTCACAAACAAGAAGTGTGTTATGCGTGCTTTTGTCTCCTGCATAAATCTCTGTGTATCATTTTGTGTGTGTATGTGTATGTGTCATTGTCGAGTTGAGTGAGAGGGCTTCTCGCCCGAGCGCTTTTCTGTAAATGCTATTTCATGAGTTTAATTGCTAAAAACTCATTAAAAGCACGAAGCGAAGATACTTTATAATCAGATGGTGAGCGCGAACGCACGAGAATGAAAAAGAGGGAAGAGAGTGTGATTTTTGACTTTTTTAAGTGGCAGCTGGAGAATATTCAACCGTTCAAAAAGCGCTTTAAACTTCCATTCATAATACCAGCTCATTTGTTTTGTACCCATCACAAGCACATCCACGATGTGGATTCCACGTTGGCCTCTTCACAAGTTACAACAACAGCAACAACTTTCAACCGAATCCAAGTATTATGACAGTTTTATATGGAAGTAATTGTATCAAATTGAGAACAAGAACCCGATTTACACATGAACAATTCGAAGTTCAAGTACAGATGATGAAGTACAAGAATGGATTTTGGATTTCGTCGACAATTGGGAGTTGGAAAATGTACACAAATGCGCATCGCGCTCATATTGTACGTGCGAGAGAGAATTATGGCATGGGAGCCTCGCATTGACGTAATCTATTTACAATCGATCCAACTTGACAGGGATTCACCGAAAAGAAAGTTAGAAAAGGTCATGGACGATGGTTATGTTGGGAAAATCCCATCCATTTCCAGCTTCCATACAGCAGACGCTTTTAACATTTCGATATTTTCTTCTTAATCTTTGCATTGCACGTAAAACATTTTCCCTTGTTGCCGAGAAACGAAAAAAAACCGCCTTGCGTATTCGAATATGCAATTTCCGATAAGAAAAAGAAAACAACATTTATTTCTACAATAAAAACTGAGTGTTACTTACCAAAGTAATATGTTCCGCATAGAATTAAAACCGATAATGTGAACATGACGTTAGTTCGCACCGAAATGGCCATCCTAAAAACGTGTGTGTGTCTCGTAAATGTCTCTCGATTCAATGTTTAAAATCAATTGTGGTGTTCCTTCCGTGTGCTTGCTACCGATTCGATGGTTTTTGCACTAAAATCTACGCGATTAAAATGATTGGCTCTAGTCTTATGAGTTATGTTTATTGGTTTTTTGTTGTTGTTGTTGTTGTTTTTAATAAGCTAAACGATTAGATCTATCACATTCAATATGGATGTTCAAACACACACATTTACACAGTCACATGAAAAACATTTGAATAAAGCGAAAATGTTTTACATCAAATTTTATATATGGCTTTGCAATATTATACGTGTATGCTGTGTATAGTTAGTTAGCTATGTATATTATTATTTATGTAATTGGAATAATTTAGCTTGATTTGTATTAATTTACTCTGTCTCTCTCGCTGTGTGTATGTGTGTTCATTCATTAGACATTCAGAGCGTGATTTGACTTAGTCTCTTTTTGCTTGATGCCTTATTACAATTTCTAACTTTTAGATAACCTTCGGATTATGATTACGATTGCAAAAGTGTAGTATGTGTATATATAGATTGTTGAAAATGTTTTTATTTTTCTTTCTTCCTTTTTCCTCCCGAGAATTTTGTATTTGTCTTTCACGTTAAATGTAATTTATACGAAAATTTGGTCGATTGCATTGATGTCCGATGAATTAATTCGATTGGCAGCATTTAATATGCCAAAAGTTTTGGCTGTTTCAACAAATATAGCTATTGTTGATTGGGATAATGTTTCTGGTGGTTCAATTTGCATTGGAATCGATTGGCTTGTGGAAATTGTCGATTCAAATAAGAATAATAAATGAAGCATGATTTCGTTCCGGAAGTTCTTCGGTATTTTCTGTTGACGAATGATCTTGTTTGCGTTTATTATTCTGTTCAATTGAAGTTATTCGCATCCAATCGTGTGCCAGCAATTTGCCTTCTTTACTTGGATATGGAAGCCAACCAATTTTCCCGGCTATACGTGTATCATCGACTTGTTTACGGCTCCGATTCAGCTGTACAGCTGAGCAATTTGCTCACGGGCAAAGTGACCTGAAACAAAAATAAATCCAATGTAAGTAATTGTAAAACTTTTCGCATGTTTTTTTAGCAGCACTGTGCTGCCAGCACATCATTTTGATTTCTACTCGATAAATACTTTGTTGTTTATTTTTGTAAAAAGAAAAACAAGATTCTGTGTTTCATCGGGTGTATAAACAAAAGTCAAATTGATGATAATAATCATGCATTGGCAAACATTGTTTTTCGGAAGAGCGCAATAAACCTCGCACATTTCATTCGCATTGTCTCATAGTAAGATCGAAAATCACAAAGGATTCCCACACACAGATACACATACAGCAAATGCACCTAATGTATGTCGAATTCATATTTCCCAACAGATTTGATTGGCAGATTAACAAGAGAGTTCAATTGAAATGGAAACAAATATCGATCGCTTCGGCACATGGAGAAAACAAGCTCAACACTTTCAATTATTAATCACATGTTTGTATTGGGGAATTTTCATTTCGAAAAGTGAAATTTGTTGGATAACATATGGCTTAAATGGATTAATATTTGGTTATGTTGCATAAACACACATTTTTCTTCTCTCTCTATAATTCAATATACTCAGTCAGGTGGGGAAGGTCAAATTAATTTGGAATGGATGCCACGATTCGTGTTTTGTTATGAAAGATTTAATGCGTTTACTGTACAACTCAATGGGAATTACGGCAAATCTAATCTGAGTGACACTTGTGAGATCGATTATTTGAAATAAGTCGATTCTGTAATTTACGGCTGGACTATTCGAAGTCGACGAGTCACAGATAGCTATCTATCAAGATAACATATTATACACAAAGGAGACACGATACATAGGCCGTGAATACATAGAAATGGCACTCGACCTCACGAGCATCCATTGTTTTCGTTGGTGCAAAAGAATGTGGACCGAACGGTGAACAAGGACATAATGAATTGCGAATCAATATAAAATAATAATCATCTTGATCACCCGGTGTAGGTTCCACATGGAAGCATTTGAAATAATGAAGAACAATGCGGCCAATACATGTACAATGATTTCAATTGTTACGCTTCTGCTCGGCATTTTTTTCTCCTGTTCTTCTATCAACAATTGCAGACGATTATGTACAAAATTCACGTAGCCCAAACAAGCGAATGTGTTGGCAACCGGCACTTGAAATCATTCAAGGAAAAATTGTGCCATTCATTTTGCTTTGTACTGTTATATAATCTAAATTGAACGCAGATGAATATAAAGTACGAGTGGAAAAAAAAAGGACGGGACCGGTATTATTGTCAAGTCGAATGGTCTTATTAGAGTGCAGATCGACCCGGGTCATACAATGGAGCAAAATAGACAGCGAACAAATCAAATTTAATTAGAAACAAACTGTTCGAGGATTACATGCAGTTTATTTTCTTAATGGTTTTTGCTTATTTCATTATCGGTGTCGAGCTGAATGACAAATAAAATGATAACCGAAGCGCCGGAGACAGACAGAGAGCAACCAAACCCAAACAATCTACGTTTCGAGATAACTAGTGTGCATGAGCAAAGCACACGAGCACGCAAAATAAAGAACGAAACAGCGTGAAAGTGCAGAAAAAAAGAACATCGAGGGAAAAAACAGCAGCAACAACAGCAACATGAGGAAAAGATAGTGCAAGCAAAAAGTGAGTAGCACGCTTCAGTGAATCAATAGAAAAACATTTTATACGTATATATTCACAAGTGGTCATGTACAACGCTCATTATATCTGTCGCTTAATATTACATTATGGCCTTATTACACACATTCTATTATCTAAACGGTCTGATGGAGGTAGTAGCATAAGATGCGGAATACCAACCATTCTTTTTTTATTTCCATGCTCTCTCTCTCTCTCTCTCTATCGCTCGCTCGCTCGCTCTGGAATTACACGCACGGCATTCATTATTATACAACCAACACACAAAATCCAAAATGAAGCACACTATATTGTCATTATTGTCACCTAAGTTGGGGGGTCGATGGTTACGGAACATATTTAGTCCTAATAAGCTCCAAAATGAATGAATTTACATTGAAACGAGAAAACGTTGTCGAGCAGTCGCAAAATAGAGACAAAATACAATGGCATTGATGACAACAGCAACGGAGACGACAAAGACAACGCCGGAAAAAGGGCGAACAAAAAAGAAATTCAAATTGATGCAAAGTCAAGCAGAACGACAGAATCATCGTCTAAATGTGAGGATGTTTGTTGCTTCATCGCATCGTCACTTTTTGCCGTGCCACATTTTCGCCTTGTGTACATACATTTTCGCTACAATTTCCATCGAGCATTCTTTTCCGCCAAAGTGAGAAAGAGCGAATATTGTTTCGCATTGTGGCAATAACAGTAGCAGTAGCATAGCGTTTAATGTGCTCTACACAAACGTTCATTATAATTACGAAATATGGTCGTAATTTGAAAACGTAAGCGGAAAATACCGACATCATTTAGCTACGGATGGTGAATGATACAATTTGCAAAGCTCGGGCAAATGGATTCAGTGTGAAAATTCAACGAGTGAAAAAGAAAATAAAAATTTACACGGAGAGAGAAAGAATCGCACAGACAAAGTCATTTAAAACAGATTTTATACTTTAAGTAAAATTGGGAAAAAAAAATGTAGCAACTCCGGCCACAACATTGAGTGGCTGACAACATTTTGCAAATATTTTTATTTTGGCCGCAAAACAACGGACTTGCAAAAATGAAAGAGAATTCGTGCGTCGCCATTGAATCCCATGTTGAGCCATTTTTTTCCCTATTCGATTGTGTTTTTTTTGTTGGTGTGCGTTTTGCATGACTTTCTGTATAATTACTAGCCGCTAGTTGCATGTTTGCTAAAAGACAAAAGAAACAACTCGACGCGGGCAACATGGAACAGAAATAAAAAGAACCGAACGCTAAAAGCCATTATAATAATATAATGGTATAAAAATCTGATCAGAATGTTGTTTCGGCTGTTTTATTTGTCGATGTTGTTCTGTTGTGCTGGTTCATCAAGGACACGGTTTCATTGTGGCATTGTGTGTGTGTATTTGTATGTTAGCCACAAAAAGACATGCAGGTACGTATTGTGTGTATTTTTAATTGGTCTCTTTTGTTTGTTTTCACGTCTTCCGGTGCTGGTGACTGCTTTTTTTTCTTCTTCTCTCTACTTTTGCTCGTGCTGTAAAAACTTTTTATGCGGATATTTTGCCAAACGCCATAATAAGCCATATAGTCGATGTGATCATTGTTTTTCGGTGGAAACATGTCAAAGTTGTACGAGTTAGAAGTACAGACGAAAGATAGCATATGCTTTGAGTCAAGGATTAAAATTTCGTTGGGCAGAGAGACCAGGGTGCGTCAAACCGTCTAAAAAATCAAAGAGATTAAACCATGATGCTATGTGGTACTCTCAAAGTATACGGGGAAAGATTCTAATTACCTGCGGCAATACATGCAGTGCTTTAATGTAACAAAAATTATTATCTGCTAAGTGAGTTTCAGAACAAATAATAAACTTCTTGTACTTTTCAAATGTTGCAACGGACGATGGTAACAGCGACCGAAGAGCACACGCATACGAAAAATTCTGACTCGCAATTGAGGAACAGGCGGTGAAAAGAGAGCGAGAGAGAGAAAAGACACACCGCACAATGTGTTTAAACTCAAATTATTAAAAATGACCGAATGATTTGAAACCAAATAAACCGTGTCGAACCCAAACCGAAAACTTGTTAGTCGTTAGAGAATTACATGAACGATGGTCCGCTGAACATGAGCACACGTTGCTTACGTGTCGGCACGAGGGGAGGAACAACGATGATGACGACGACAGCAAAAAACGGATACACAAGCGTATGATAAATGATTGGATTCGCTAGCAAACCACAACGAACGAACATATAACGACAACACATCGACGGAAAATCATCTAATTTTTTTCTCTCCCTCTTTCCCTAATGGCTACCGTTCGTTTGGTAGATTACGCCAATTTTCCGCACTGATTTAATAGATTTAAAATTTAAATTAGAATTTTAGCATATTTGCTGCGATGCGGTCCCGTATTTTCAACGAAAACAAACAATCGGCTCTTTTAATTTGATTTTTCCGGGGCTTTTTGCGCACCATTCCCACCGGTTTGGTCGTGCACCACATCGACAGACGCACGAACAAATTTATAGCGTAATTGCAGAAATATGTGCCGAAAATGTAAAAACAAACGGCTCATCAGCAGTAGCATCGAATTAGTCGCATATTTAGCTCATCCCGGACTGGACAAAGCATCCATTTCTCTCATCCAATACCTTTTCAATGCTAAATTATTGTATCTTGTTGCGTAGATAATGTGTTACAGCTTCGAAATCGAATGCAATAAATATGCTAAAGCAACGTAATATCATCCATTTTGGACGGGGAGGTTCGAACAATATTGTTGGGTTCCGGTTGCGACAAAAACCAATTTGGACAACTTTACAGTTTTCCAGTTAGGTACAACGATCATTGTTATTGAATGTATGTTGACTTCGTGCGTCGCATGCTCTATTTATTGCTCCCAAAAACTGTATTGTTGTGATGTGTATTATGTTAGTATGAAAATGCTGTTTGTTTTGGTCAGATGGTGTGTCATCAAAATCGAACGGGCAAACCGGAATATTACGTCAGAAAATAAGAAAAGCACACCTTAAACGCTTCACTGAAGCGCTCTCGTTCGAGTTGATCTGTGTTGAAATAAATTCCAAATTTAAGGTTCATGAATTGAACTAATCCGAATCAAATTATCCGAAATGTGTTCCATGATAAAAATCAGTCATTCGAAAAGTAAATGTAAATACAGGAGCTGCAATCTAAATTCCACATTTTCCATTTAAATCTCAATGAAAAATAAACATTCAAATGGAATATTTTCGTTTCTGTGTTTTTCGTTGTTGTTTGTATGATAGATGAAAGACGAAGTGAATATAACCTCGGAAAATGGAAAAAAAGTGGTTAAAGGTAAA